TGGCATGAAATTGCCCAGATGGAAACTCTCTGCCCTATCAGGCACCACTGAATTTCCCTTCTCAGTCCTTCGCTTAGACTCACTAGTAAAAGTGAATGCAAACCGTAACTCTCACTGTGGGAGTGCTGCAGCCCGCCTCAGCCTGTCACTCTGAATGCTCATCTTTTGACTGAGTATGTCATATTAACATTTCAATTCAGGTAGAAGTACAGTTGCCACCTGAAGAGGATGGATGTGAAGGGAGTTTGGGGAGGGATGGGAAGTTGGGAAAAGAAAGGCTAAAGAATGAGAGTCAAAGGTTTAGCGATGTTGAGGAACCACATTTCCCAAGCAGATCTGTAGCATTTGCTGTTGACCTCTTTTGAGATGAATTCTCCCATAGGACCTGCCAGACAGCACTGAGACTTGGAGGAAATCAGACAGAAAATGGCTCACCCTGATAAGGAAGAGGAGTGACTATATTTTAAATTAAACTTGCTTTTTCCAACACTGTGAGGTTTCTGTAATATTTAGCTTTTATTTGGAAGCGATAGCGTATGGCATTTTTTATGCTATTTGGTTTATATTGTCTACTGCAGGCTTCTTTGTACAAGCTTGGCCCGGGCTTACCCTCACCTGGACACTGTTTTAAAGTGTCACAGCTGCCCATGCTGTCAGAGGCTCTGATGTGAGGCTGTATCCTCTAGATCCACATTTTTAAGTTGACATGATCGGTGATGACTTTTGGTGGCAAGAGAAAAGCGCATTAACTCAAAAAAACCCAAGGAGAGTAAAAAGGGAAGGAAAATATAAATTGTGCCTCATCTTTCATTGAATGCTATATTTATTATTCTAGAAAAAGAGAACTTACAAATGGAGAAGTACTAATAGAGCATGTACTTCATCCCTCAGGCTGTCCAGGGGAAAATAAGAAAAATAAACATCTAATAGAAAATTAAAAGATCTTCAAATTTAATTCTTAAAAATAGTTTTATACCAAGTATTAAGGATTATTAAGCAAAGGACTTTGTAAAATAAGTGCTTAAATTAGCTGAGCACACATTGTATCAAATTAACAAAATCATTTAAAATGAGTTGGAATAGAAACCAATACCTCAATGAGCTGCACACACTTGAAGGTGCCCCTGCAGTGAGACACCTCAGGTACCCAGAGGCAGCAGCACTAGACGCTGTTGAGAAGTTAGTATTTATGGAGATTTTAATTAAAGAAAAGAGTTTCCTGCTGCATAAGCCAATGGCTGTTGTGAGGGAAATGTCCCTTTGCCTTTAATTTATTTACATACTGGAAGTAGATGAATTTCTTAGTTGCATCTTACTTTAAGTAGAAACATTGTAAAGAGAAGAAAATAAGAACCGGGTAGAAGTTGACTAGATACTGCCAAATCAAACCCAAGATCTCCTAACTGAACCTTACGAGCCTGCTTCTTTCCCAGACAAGTAGTTGGAGTCCCGTTCTAGGAACCCTTTGTAGTTGGCTGGTGTGTTTACTTTTTGCTGTAGCCAGCCAAGGTGAATGCACCCTGGCCCCTCAAAAAGGATTTTACCTCAATCTAGCTTGACCCTCATACTTGTGGTTGCCTCTGAGAGCATCCATGCTAGTGTGTGTGTTTTTTTTTAAAAAAAAAAAAAAAAAAAAAAAAAGATTAGGAATGCCCTCAAATGGCCAAGAACTGAACTCTTATTTAAAGGTGGGCAGACCTCTTGCCTGCTTTGATCCAGTCCCTCTCAGGCTGATGGGGGCAGTGCCACACTGTAAAGAACTTCCAGATGTCTCTTACAATGTCATGAATAAAATTGGAAACTACAGAAGTGTTAATGTGTCCTATGGACTCAACAGCAGAGTTTATTTTTGTTTTGAATGGCAAGGCTTCTAGAGCCATTGACTGTATGAGTTCCCCGCTCAGGCTATGCTTACAGTCCCATCAGAGTGCAAGAACTAATGAGGTGGGTTGACTGCAGTGGAGCATGGCCCTAGCCAGGTCCCAGCGTAAACACAAGAGAGGTCAACAGTAGTACAGAATGAAAACCTGGTTGGGTGTTTGGGGTTGGGATGTGGGTGGGCAGGGAGGGAGAAATGGAGTTTGTTTTACTTACTGATAAAGCTTTGTGAACTAATTTTATACAATTCATAAAATTTGGTGCCTTGTACCCAATTATGGTTTGCATGGGATTGAAAAGATTAAGGGAAAGGATTCCTTCTTGTCATTTCAAGTGGCAAATGGATCTGTATAGTGTAAAGGACATTTGGTGTCAGACTTTTTAAAAGCATTTCATATCTTGTGTGTGTGAAAGCAAATTATTCTTACCAGCAAGTTCTGAAATTTTAATTGTAATATCCAAAATCTTTGTGTTTGATTATTCATCAGTGTGTCCTTTTCAAGGCAGACTATGTACCCCATTCTTTTTTTACCACCCCTTTTATGTTCCAATCATTAGCTCAGGCCTTTTTAAAATCAGGCTGGGAGGGCTACCCCTTCCTAAACATATACTGTATTCCTACCTGGGATTATATCTTATAAGTGGAAGGGCTGCTTTTCCAGCTGGTTGGGAGAGCACAAATATTCAGAGGAAGGTCTTTTAGTTTTTCTAATGCTGGGCAACGTATGGTAGAAGTCAAACAGAAACGGTTCCTCCTGAAGTGGTACCTTCATTAGTTCTGAAGTTCTTTTGCACAAAATTTCAGGAAGCAGTGTAGAACACAATACCCTATATGTGAACCTTTAGATTGTAAGGCAAGCCAGTGCACTGTGTAATATGCAAAAAAGAAGGCTCAAAGAACCTGTCCCAGCTCCCCAGCCCCACTCCCTGGCAGCTGCTGACTGGGATGGTGCCGAGTGGCTGTGGAAGGGGAAAAGACCCAGCCTGCTCACCTGCAGGGCTATAAACACAGCATGTTCCTTTTACTCCCACCTTAAGGTTTCCAAGACTTCACCAAAGGGTGTTTAAAAAGCTTACCACTCGAAGCACATATAATAATTGGATCCCTCAGCCTAATTAGGTGAGGGGGTTGTATCTTTGGAATAAAACCTCCCATGGCCACTTAGTTTCTTTACCAGGTAAGTATGAATCTCCCTGGTGGTTCAGATTCTTTTTTGAAGTTAGCACTAAAGCTGAAAAGCGCCTTCTGAATATGACTGTGAGTTTAGTTTATATCTTCCACGTTTAAATTCACCATTTTCTTGGTCTAGGGCTTTGACTTTAACCACTGTGTACTCAACCCAAACACTGCTCTAAGTACACCACAGCCACTAGAGCATTGAAGCGAATGGTCATTTTTGTGGACTTTCTCCATACTGAATTCTGCTGGCATGTTTCTATTTCAGATCTAACTAGGTTGTGTAAGAGATTTTCATAGTACTGTCATACTATGTTATGTGTTTACATCCTGTCACACGGTGTTAACTAGCCTGGGCTAAACACCGTGTGACAGGATGTGAAACTGAATTCCCTTGAGGAGAAATGTGTTGAAATGATGAAAACCAGCACTTTCATTTATGGAATAATTATTCATCAGAATTTGAGGAAATTGTAGATTTGGTAGCTTTAATCTGCAAAATTCTTATCACTTTCGGGAATTAAGGCAGTTTAAATGAAACTTTACCTTACCAGCTTTATGGCTTTATAAACCAACAGTGGCACTGTTACTTGAAGCTAAAACATTAAATTTTAAGTGAAACTTGAATTATGCTTTTGGAAGCTGCCATGTCTTTAATTTTGGCCAGATTTTGATTTTTAGCTTTGAAAATTTTTATCAAAAAGAACTGTTCACAATGATGAATAGATCAGGTAGCAGACTTCAAGGATGTACGTTTCACTCCTATAAAGAACAGGAGGTGCTGGTATTTCTAGTGTTAGCGCAATGGTCTGATGCAGGCTGAAGGGATTTAAAAGTTTCCTTCCTGGTCACCATTTGCGGGGGTGATGGCTTTAAACCTAAGCCTTGCTCCACGTATGTTACCTTTCCTCATTAGATATGAACTTGTCAGAGCATCTGTGGCCCCCGTGTAGACTCTTAAAGGATCCTGCCTTCATGTTAAGCCAGCCACAGGCCTGAATTCATACAAGCTCAAACTCCTTCCTCCTGAGAGATGGGACCTCCTCCCTGATTAATGCTCATAAGAGAATGGTGCTTTTCTTTAACATATAAAAAATCTAATTCCCTAACAGCTTTCTTAACCACATTTATGCCAGCAGGATCAAGAAGGACCATTTTATTCTGTTTACCTTTAGTGAACAGATTGCTAGAGACAACACGTGTCAACTAACAATTAGGCCACTGTGGTGCATTTATACTGACCCTCCTTTCCAATTCATGTCCTTTAATCCCATACCAGTTCCGTAAGAGACTCGGCACGGAAAAGTAGTATTTTTTTTAAATGCCTAATAGAGCAAATCAACTAGAAAAATTGCCAAGGGGAGCCTGTCACTATGTCCACACCTTGCTAAGCCTATGTGATTCTTTCCATGCCAGTTCCTTACATATTCCATTTCCAAAGAACCCCACACTCCTGGACAGTGGCACTACCATGAATTTTAGGGTCAGAAAATAATCTATTTCCTTGTGAAGGAAGCAGCTTCCTCAAGCAGTGTCACTTCAGTGCCCACTGCCCAGGCTTACTTACCCCTTGCCTCTACCTGCACCTCACTGCCCTCAAATCCCACTGTACTACAGCAACAATGCCTCCCTGGTGCCTGGAAAACCCACCCGGTGCACTAAAATGCTATGCAACACCAAATGACTTCTTCCCTTAGTACCGCTCAAAAATGGGAATTCCGCAACAACATGCTTCATCCTACGCCAGCATCAGTGAACGGTGGCTGCAGTTTCCTTTTCTTTTTTAATATGAAGCAAACCATCTCTGTTACAATCCATGTTTGGGGCTTGTTCCTGTCTCTCTCGAGTGTGAAATATAAATCATGTTTTTATGATTTTTGTAAGTCTTGACTTTTTACACCTTGTTTTTGTAAGCCGAAGTTTCTTATTAAAAGAATAAAATGGCTGTCTTTGTGTACAGTCTTTATTTGTTAAAATACCATTAGAATATTCCTCAGGACAAGAGCAAAGATCATCCCCTGCAGAAACTTTGGAACTATGTACAGAACTTTACAGAACACAGGACAACACTTTAGCTGAACCCTACCTGCTGACCAGAGAAGGGTGTTCTGAGTGGACTCAGCAAAGAAAAGGAAATCAAGCAGGGAAGCAAAGGTGCCCATCTGAATCAAACTTCGGCCGCCATCAGGGCAAGTCTTGTGACGGTCACAGATCGGAGGCTCTGTTTTTGGAAGGTTCGAGTACAGCACAGGGGTTCCATGTGTCTGCAGTCAGACAACAGGTGGCATTAGAAATGTAAAATCACTAGAGGGAAATTGGTAAGAGACTCATCCCTTGGAACATCTGGAGACACATCTAACTAGGAATAGCCAAGGGTTTTACATCAAGTCTCTTATCTATTATTTTGTGAATAGCTGATATAAATTATTTCTTATCCCAGTCTCTAGGACTCCTAAAACGGGCAGAACATTGGTTAATGCTTACCTTTACGGCTACACCCCAGGCTGAGGTGCCATTAGGTCAATGTCACTCAAATTCCTGGCCAGCCAAACTCCGGCAGCAAAGAGTCCCAAATTGAGGATCAAGTTCCTGGAAAAAATGCATCCCTTTAACCCTGTGGTCACTGAGTCACGTGTCTTTGGTCAGTGAAAGATGGGCTGGGGGGTGGGGGGAAGCTTCCCATCACCACCCTGGAAACCGCCCCCTCCCAAGGCAAAAACACTTTAGAATCGCAAGAGCATCGATCGTTACATAATAGGTTGCCCAAGACCCATATGGTTATTTAAGGTTCGTTTCTACGTCTAGTAAGAGTAGGGTCAAATGCAAAACCCAATTAAGTACTCGTCCAGGGCCGAAAAGCCTGTTGACGTGTTGGCGCCTCCTCCCCCCGGGTCTCCGCGGGCAGGGTGAGATTCTCTAGACAGAGCCCGGTGACTGAAAGGAGCGCTCTGGCCGCACGGGAAACTCTCCCGGTCAAGGACCTCAGCAAAGCATAGCCAGAGCCACGAAAAGGCCGAGATATTGGCGGTGTAAATAATCCGGAGGGCCCAGCCTCGGCGAAGAAGGAAACCTGGCAGGTATGCATACGTGCGCCAAGGGCAGGAGAGCGACCAAGGTCCCGTGCCTCGGTTACCTGCGGAAGTCATTCCTATCGGTGGCGAAGCGGTAGACGCCCCGAAGCCAGTCTCCCACGTTGTCTGGGATTTCGGGAGCTTCATTTGCCGAGCCCGCAGCGATCACGCCGGCCCCACTGGAAGCCATAGCAGCACCCCAACGCTCCGCAAGGTCTCTCACCACGCCGCTTGTCGGCGCCAGCAGATCACGCAACTTCCGGCCTCGCATTTCCGCTGGCTACTCGCCGACAGAGGGCGCAGTGGCTTGAGCTTGGTAAAACGCCGGGAGCGAGAACTCCCGGGCTGCGAGTCCGCGACATCTGCCGGGCAAGGAGCGCCGTCCAGCTCCAACCTCCCCTGGTCGGGTTCCACCTCCGGCTCCCTCCTGGCCTTCGGCTGGCCCACCGCCAGTCACAGGTGGTCTCTGAGTGATCACTTCGTTGGCTCAGGAGGAGGATGCTGAGGATGGGGCTGCCTAGCCTGTGGGGGTGGGGTAGGGTCTCACTCAGCAGGGGATGCGTAGCTTTAAGGAATGGGGCTCCCCAAGAGTCTCCATGAAAAGTCATAGAATGCGCGGGCTAAAAGGAAGCACTCCAAATTTGTCATTTCGCCGCCTCTCCCAGCCATGGGCCCTGATGGCGTTCAGTCTAGGATTTTTATAGGGGGAGGAGAGTTTTGCTCTCTCACCGTACAGATTACCTCCCCAGCCACCCTTTCTCCAGGCCGCGCCACTAGCAAATGGTGCAATGCTTCCTGGAGGTGTCGCTGTCCCCAGCTTGGAGATTGCCGGGGGTCTCCCAGGGCCGGGGAAGGCGCTGGCCTAAGAAAAAGCCTTCGGGTTCCGATTCAGAGGAAGAGGAGCAGGTGGGGCAGGAAGCGTCCTCCTTGGGATCAAGAGGAGTCTCTGGGCAGCCCTGCTCTTGCCCTTTGGGTGTCTCCTCCTGGTCCCCAGCTCTACACTCCTGCTCCGGGCTGGATCCAAGCATCCCCCTGTGGGTTTCCAGACTGGAGCTGGCGGCAGTAGCGAGAAGGGCTGCCCGGGAGATGATCGCGGCATTCCGCGGGGCGCGGTGCCCATCTTCAAATCCGCCGATCTCCGCCTCCCCTGTTCCGGGCCGGGTCAGAAACGCCCATCTCAGAGCCGCGAGTCTCCCTCTCCCAGATCCGGGCGGGGCGGCCGCCAGAAGCCAGTCCCAGTCGGGGCCCAGCCTCCCGCCCCGCCCCCGGGCCTTGCGCGCCGCCGCGGTGAGTCCTCTCCCGGCTCCTCGCCCCTCCCCGCCTCCGCCCAGCAGAGGGCGGCCGCGGCCCCAGCCCAGGAGCGAGTCCCGCGCCGCAGCCTCAACCGCGGCGCGGGGTGGGTTCTGGAGGCCCTCGGAGCGCTCCGGCCAGGGACGCGCGGTGAGAGCTGCGGGCCCCGAGGCTCGGGTCTGGGGGTGCGGTGGGGGTGACGGGGGCGCTGCTGGAGGGGCGGGACGGCGTGGGACCGGGACGAGGGTCCCAGCCCGGGAGAACCCCCCCTCAGCCCAGCCCAAGCCGCTGCCCCCTTCCCCTTTGATCTGCACCTTCTCCTCCCTTACCCGGGGACGCCCTGCCTTCCACTGTCGGGGCCGGACTCGAGCCGGCATCCGAATAGCGTCTCTCAAAGCAGCTGGGGCAGCAGGGGCCGCCGCCCAGCAGGGCATAACGTCCCCCGCCCAAGGGCCCGGCGCAGTCCTGGCAGCAGAAGTGGTTCTCGTGCCAGCGCCGTCCCTCGGCCTCGGTGCAGCGGCGGGAGAAGATCAGCTGGGAGAGGGAGAGGGGAACGGCTCATTCATTCATTCACTCATTCATTCATCCAGTAACCACGCCTTATACCCAGTTGACGCTAAAGCACGTCTACAGACATTCCCATTTGATCTACTCAACCACTCTCGGATGCGGGGAGGGCTGATTGGCTTAGCCAGGGTCCCCCAGCTAGCAGGTGGCACAGCCTGAAGAAGTGCGACCTGGGTCTCCTGGACGCCCAACCCAGGGTTCCGTGCAGCCTCTTGTGCGGACATTGAGGGAGTTCCTCGCAGGAGCAGGCCCAGCACTGGGCACCCGATGTACTGAGATGAACGTCTGTCTAAGAGTTCCCGCTCTGGAGAAGTCCTCTCAGTCCAAGAAAATTTGGGAGACTCTGCTTGCGGTGAGGGAGGGCACAAAGGCAACGAGTCCCAGGTGCCCAGAGCTCAAGTCAGAGCAAAGGGAATACAAAGTTCCCAGGCTGGTTCCTAGTTCTCTGTTCCCCACTCCGTGGTACTGGAAGAGGTGTCCCGTTGCATCTGCCGCGTTGGACCCTGGGCAGACCCCCTCCAGCCCCTCCCCTCGAGGCTGTACCTGGTCACAAGCCGGGCAGCGCGGCCGCAGCAGCTCTGCGTGATGACGGCCGCAGTAGAGACGCCCATCGTGGTAGAAGTAGATGAGGTTTATCAGGGCCTGGCCACAGGCCTGGCAGGCAAAGCAAGCCCGGTGCCAGCAGCGCTGCTCTCCTGCCCGAGCTGTGAACACTCCGTACTCCCCTGGCCTCAGCCGCTCCCTGCACTGCGGGGTGCGGGTGCTGCGCTGGTCAGAGGCCACACAACCCTCCTACCTTCTCTCCTGGCTCTTGCATCCCAGCCTCAACCTAACTGTTCTCCCCATATTCTGGCAAGCCCACCTCCACCGCAGGCTCCACGAAGAACCCCTAAATTTGGTTTCCCTTTTTCCTAAGCTTTGCCAAACTGTCAATCCCCAAACCCCTTTTCCCCCTCCAGAGTCCCAGAAGCCAGCCCCTTCTGAAGAAGTGAGAGGGCAAAGAGGAGGAAGGGGAATATTGGGGGGAGGGTGCTACATACCTTTTCACAGGTGCATTCTTCAAGCTTGGGAGGTACTAGGCGGGCCACCCCCTGTCCCAGGGCCTCCCGCCTCCGCTGGGCACAGAAGAGCCGCAGCTCAGCCAGCTCCTCCTCCCCAGGGGCCAGGCAATAGCGCTCCTGCAGAAACAGAGGTCCACTGTGACCGGGAGAGCCCCAGCAGGCAACGTTGAAGTTTGACTGGAGAGGAGAGGTTTAGCTGCTGGGTCAAAGGAAGGTTGTGAAACCTCAGGGAGGTGCAGGAGATAACAGCACAGAAGGGTACTGAGGAGAGGGAAGGAGGGAAAGAACTGGCATAAGTCCACCTCCGTCTCACTCCCCCCACCCCAGGAATGGTGATCGCTCAGGTCCTGACAGCCCTACAGTACTTAGCCCATCTCCATATATTTAGATCCTGGCTCCCAATGAGCTGTAGCTTAATATCACTTCCCACTGTATTTTCCCTATTTATTCCATATTCTCCTGCCTCGCCTCCCCAGCTGAACTGTAAGCCTTTAGACTGGGCACACAGAGGCCCTCAATAAATACTTAACCACCATACTCTCTACATTTGTGCATTCCATTATCAGTTTCAAAAGCTGGTCATGTCCATTTTCTCATTTGCTCTTCAACTAAGCATTGTGGTGGGCAGAGCAGATGTTACTGCACCCATTAAGTAGTTGTGAAAGCTCAGGCTGGGGGTGGGGGATGACTTCCCCCAATTAGTGGCCAAGCTAGGCCTTAAATGCATGTCCCCTGCCTTTTGGACCAAACTTCTTCCCACGGTAAGTAAAGAAAGGGAGGCAAGAGAGAGGAAAGCTGGGGAGAGGGAGACCCACATCGCTGTCCTGTGGAGGGAGCTGCTGCAGGAGGGTCCGGAGTCCAGGCCAGCTGGGGGCTTGGTTGGTGTCCAGGCCAGGGTTCCCCAAGCTCAGGACTTCAGGATCCTGAGGAAACGCAGCAAAAGGAGAGAAGCAGAGCTCGGCTTTTCCTTCCTTCCCCTTGTTTCCTTCCCTCTTCATTGCCACCTCTTCACCAATCTGGAACAACATCCAAGCACCCCCCTCCATTTGGAGGATCCTCCTTCAAGATCACAAGGACAACTGATCCACTCCCATGTTTATGGTCTGATTGAGGCAGGTCAGGGGGGGCACACTGCAAAACAGCTTCCTTCTTATGCTTGAAATCACCCCTTTCACTCCTTAGGGGCAAAGTCCCTAGGTTCTGCTTTGACAACACAGACCCCCTAGGAGAGTATTCATGTATTCATGTGGATAAGCTTAAAGAAGTTGAACCCCTGTGTCCTGAGAGGGCTGTAGGGACAAGGATTCCTGCAAAGAGAAGGGGCTGCAAGAAGTTGGGCACAAAGGCTAACTACCTCCCACTCGGTGGAAATGGGAAGAGGTCCAAAGGATGGAGGGGATGTTGGTCTCAGAGGGAAGGGCAGGACCCCTACCACCTGAGCAGAGGTTTCCTCAGGGTCCTCCTCTGGCACGTGACCTGGGTTGCTGTCTGAGTTGACTGGTGGATTTGGCTCCGGAGGGGTCAGCCTCTCCCCTCGGTGGGGCGAGCCAGAGTTCAGCAGTGACATTGGTGGCAAAGTCTGCACAGAAAACAAGACGCCTCCCATTTATTGGGCCACGACAGTGTGCTAGGCAGGCTAAATGCTTTCTGGACGTTATCTCCTTCAGTCCTCCCCACAGCTATGTGAATCAGGTGGTATTCTTATCACCATTTTACAGATGGCCCAATTGAGGCTTGGAAGGCATACATGGTCTGCCCAAGGTCACACAGCTAGTAAATGGCAGAGCCAGATCTTGAGGCCAAACCTTTCAGCTCCAGAGTTTCTGAAGCTCAAACTCGGGGGTCTCCCAAGATTGGGATGGAGGAAACAGGAGGCCCATAGTGGAGGGAGAGGGCATTTTGCCTTTCTGGTGAGCCTTTGGGTAGACTGGCCCCTTGTTCCCCACCTCCCCTGCCACAGCTCCCACCACTCCTCACTGTACACTCAGCAGTACCCAGTGAACCTACTTCCTCGTCTCTCCCTGCTTCCCCGCTGCAGGCTTGGGCTGGGTGAAAGGATCACCTCACCGGGAGGCCCTTCTCAGCCTATCCAGCCTATACCAACTCTCCTTTCCCTGACTCCAGAAATAAGTACAGTGGGTGCCCCAAGATTTAGCACCTAACGTTTCTCTTTGCTCCCTGTGTCTCTCTCAGCTCCTCATCTAGTCTATCAGCTCCTCCAGGACAGACAAAATCCTGTGCTTCTATCTCTAGTGGCAACTTCATTGGATAATTCTAAGTGCATCTCTTCAGCCCTCCTCTGGGCAAGCCCTGGTATGGCCACAGTATCTTGGGGATAGGAGGTGACTACTGAAGTAGAAAAGGGATGGGCCCTGCCCTCAAGGAGCTCATAGTCTACGGGGTAAGGCACAGATGAAACCAGGCAGGATGGGGCCAGGGTTCTGGGCAGATATACACAGCACCCTAGGAAGAAAAAAAAAACAGAGTAAACTTTTCTAGAATGTTTACCCTGTGCCAGGGACTTTTCCAGCATGTTACATAATATAGTCCATCTTCACAACAACCCTGTGAGGTAGTTTCTATTATCCCATTTTACGGTTGAAACAAACAGGTTAAACTTGCCTGAGGTCACATTAGAAGGCTAAGGGAAGCTTTAGAGGAGGAGGTTGCCTTTGAGAGCTGGGTTGGATTCTAACGGCAGCTGGGCACAGGAGGGCATCACCAAATCCCTGGCCTCTATAAGACCCAGCTTTGGGGCTGGGAACAGGGTTTGGACTGTGACAATTATAGTGTTTCCCAGCTCGGAGCCCCGCCCTGTGCCACCCTTCCCTGCTTCCTGGCTCCACACCCATCTGCTTCCTTCCTGTTCTGTCCCTCAGATCAGGTTTCCTGTGGAAGGCAGCCAGGATGGGCTGTTCACACCCAGGGCCAGGAGTAGCCACTTCCCCTAGGGCTCCAGGAGGCAAGAGATGCTTGGGGGAGGGGGTGGGCATCGAAGCAGGGTATCTGGGGCCCCAGAAGAAACTTGCACCCCTCTTCCAGATTAGTTCTAGTTTGCATGAAGTCATCCCACACAGGAACAACACTCAGAAATCAGTCTTCACCCTTCACCCTCATCCCCCCAGGGAGGCATAACTCCACGTCCACTTAGCACTGGACCCCACTTATGTGCTGGATTCCTTCCAGAATTCCCCTCCCCCCTTACAAAAGGGACAACACTGAACCCCCTCCCCGCCCCCCGCGCAGGTGTAACCAGTCTCAGGAGTTCTACCTTCCCAACCCACCCCTGCCCTGAAGGGCAGAGTCTAGAGATTGGGAAGTGGAGGGGGAGGGGGAGGGTGTAAGGGATGGAAGGTTTCCCGGGACAGTGAGAGGAAGAAGGAGAAGAGAAGTGTCTGGTCCCGCCAAGTGCCCTCTCGACAGATCCCCAGTTTTTTCTTGGGCATGTGGGGCCCACCTCCGAAGTGGGAAGCGGTGTGGTTCCCGAGTCACCTGGGGTTCCCAGTCTGGCTGCTGGGAGTTTAGGGGAAGGGAAGGAACTCCGCCGGGGTCTCACCCTCGCTGCGCGCTGTTGTCCGGGCAGTTCTGGACAGACCCTGGCGTCAGGCCCTTCACCCAGTTCCCGCTCTCAGGTCTCGATACCCGCCTCTGCCCGCCCCGGGAGCGCGCCTTCCGCTCCCACGCCCCCCGCGGGCCCTGCCAGCCCCTCCGGGGCTGGTAGAGCTGGACGGGGGGCGGGGCCTAGAGCTGCCGACTGAAGGAAAGCATTTGAGGGATCTCGGGTGGAAAGTGTGCAGGTTCCACTGCCTCCGTGCCCATGGGCTTAGCACTGGGACCGCGTCCCGGCGGGCGCGGAGCAGACCCTCGGGAGCCATCGTTATGCCGGGTCCTCAAGCACTCGCGGAACAGAACGCCTTTCGGAGCCCTTAGGTCCCCCCAGACCTTCCTTCTGGTCTCCTAGCCCCGCCCCTCTCTGTGTGGCCCCACCCCCACCTAGTTCCCTCCCCCTTGTCCCCAGCCCCTTTCTGGGGTCCCTAGTCCTGCCCTTCTTCCTTCCATCCCTTCAGGCTCCTCCCCCAATCTTTCGTGTTTCTCCCCCGCCCCGCCCGCCGCTCGGGTACATTTTCTGATCCTGGGAGTGGAAACCTTTGGTCCTACCTCTGGTCCCCCTCAGCCCCGCCCCTAGCCCCGCCCCCGCCCCAGGCTCCGCCCCGCCCCCGCCAGGCTCTCTCAGTCACTGGCCCTGAGCGCCCTCTGGCGTCTGCGCATGCTCCCTGCGCCCTACTGCAAAGTCCTCCAAAGGGACCTTCTAGGCTGCGCGCCGGTCACTCCCGATCGGGTCCGCCCGCCCGCAGCGTCTCGTCTGTGCTACCGGTGACCTCTGACCCCGCCGCCACGGGGCGGGGAGGCCTTAGCTCCGGGCGGGCGGCGGCTGCTGCAGCGGGACCCGGGAGCGGGGCCCGGCGCCGCCCGGGCCGCGGGGCGATGTGAGTCGGGGCGCGGCGGGGCGGGGGCGAGGCGGCTCCGCCGAGGCCGCACCGCGCCGCGCCGCAGTCTCCACTCCCTCCCAAGGAAGCCCCGGGCGGGCGGGCGGGCGGGCGGTGGAAACCCGGGCCTGGGGGCGGGGATCCAGAGACAACGGGCGGCCCTGACCTCCCCTATTCCTTCCCGGTATCTAGAAATTCGCCTGTTACCTAAATCTGTCTCTAAGCCCCCAGAACCACCCCACCCCCACCCCCGGACACACCTTCATGTGTCCTGGAGCCCTCAGAACCCCTCACTCCTGCAAATTCCCCTGATACGCTCACAGAGCACCATTCTCTCCTGGATGCCCCCAAATGCTTCCACCGCCCTGAAATTCCTCTGAGTCTTCATGCCCCCCATTCTCCTTGCACCGTGCTCAAGTCCAAAAAATTTGTCCACATTTCCCTGATCCCTCTCATACGTTTTGAGTCCCTATAACCTCAAACTCCCACCCCCAATCCACACCTGTCTCAGACCAGCGACCCCTCCTCCTCCCACCCGATGTAACCCCCCTCATTGGGCTGTCGTGATATGTCCTGGTATCTTAAAGAGAAGTGAAGGGGACAGGAAAAGGTGCAGCGCCCTCCCCCATCTTGCACCCTGTAGTTCTTGGCTTCACCCCCAGACTCCCTGTTGGTGGCTCAAGCCCCAGTATTTACCCAGCTGTCTGCCTTTAGGCTGTGCATACCTTCCTCATCCTGCTGCCCCCTTCCAGAGAGTGAGTAAGCCAGACCAAGAGGGTAGGGGTCCTTTTACCTGGGAAGTGTCCAAGGATGCAGAGCACCAGGGGCCCTGGGAAATGACATTGTTTTTCCAGAGCAGGAGGGTGGGATTTCAAGGATCTCCAGGGTACTGGCTTGTCGACTTGTCCACCTAGGGCTCAGATTACTGAAATTTTGATTGATTGTTAGCATTTATGTTAACTTTTAGGCCTTTCAGAGTTTGGAGAACAGAAAATCTATCAAGCTTCCACGTGTGAGATTAAAGGAGCTTGTCCTAGAAGAGGAAAATGTTGATTTAGCTATGTTTGTCCTACAAACTTACCTCTAAAGGTTATTGAAGCTAGAAGTTCCACAGTTGACAGATGTTTCCCTTCAAAACTAAGGCCTTGGGGTGGGAGTTGGGGGTGGTGATGGAGAATCTACTTGGCAGACTCTCCCAGATACTTAGTAGCAATAAAAAAGACTACTGGTTTCCTGAATCTTAAGCCATTGCTCTTTCTAATACATCTTAGTGTCCTTTATTTATTTATTTTTTTTTTTGCGGTACGCGGGCCTCTCACTGCTGTGGCCTCTCCCGTTGTGGAGCACAGGCTCCGGACGCGCAGGCTCAGTGGCCATGGATCACGGGCCTAGCCGCTCCGCGGCATGTGGGACCGGGGCACGAACACGTGTCCCCTGCATCGGCAGGCGGTCTTAGTGTCCTTTTGAGAAAGCTCTCTGTAGAGTTCAAGTTCTCAGCAAAGGTAAGGTGGTGATCTTGGTATCGGTTTTAACAGGATTCAGGTGGGGTCTAGAGGTGACTTAAAATGTCCTGGGCTGCCTCAGACTTCAAAGTCACTGATGCGAGGGGAGTCTGTCCCTCTCAGGGCCTATGGGGCTTAGAATTTGTGGTCCCTTTGCCCTTGATCTCACTTCCTTCATTGGTGTTTCTATCCCATTAGGGCTGGAACAGATATCCAGGTGGGATGGACTGACGGCAAGTCAGTTTCATTAACAATTGGGGGTGAGAATGGAAGGTTTCCACTAACCTGTGGTCTCTGTCTCCTATGCTAGGTGAGCCCCAGGTATGTCCCAGGGAGATCCAGGTGACTTCTCTGCAGACTGCTTGCCATGACACCCCACCAAGAACAGGGGGAATAAAGTGGGGGTCCTTCCCCATGCCCCTCCCATGGTCAGCTCCCCGATGGCCTGGGTGAGGTGAGAGCTGCGTATAGGAGCCACTTTTCTGGAGTTTTCCAAGTTGAGAGGAGTAGAGGGTGCAAGTCAGCATTGTTCAAGGCTTTACACTTTCAGCAGGAGTTCTAGAAGGATATCTAATCCTGCTGATTCATTTCTTGCAGAAAGTTGCAAACCCATAACTTCTGGTTGGGAATCGGCCCATGTGTTTGCTTGCTCCCTTAGGTCACTGTAGCCTGGTGGTATCACCTCCATCCTAGGCACAGGCCCAACTGTTGTGACCTCTAATTCGAGTGCCATAATCCTTGAGGAACAATCCAGATATTAAGGCCTCTGTTCTCCCCTTTGGACAAAGGGGAGCAAACCCAGCGTTTCTTTTTTTAATGAAGAAATACCAACTCAAGGTTATCAAAGTAGTGCTCTGTTTTAAATGTTCAGTCTTCTGAGTGTATCTCTTGACCATAACGTAACATCTCATTTGAAGAGAACATCAAAAAGATAAATTTGAGGTGGATGTTGGGATGGTGGTGAGGAAAGAAAAGAGAGGATTTGGATGATGTGGGAGGAGTGAAGTGGAAAAGGAGGAACAAGGAGAAAGGTCCAGGCCAAAGTGTCTGGGACTCCCAACTACAGTTTCTTCACTGAATCTGGAGGAGGGCACTGGACTGGCACCCAACTCCTGATGCAGGTCACTTCATCTGGGTCCCTACTTTTAACCATGCTTTTCCTGCTGCCCAGGCTGCCCTTCCCTATCATTACATCAGTCAGAATCCTACATACTTCTCAAGGTCCAGATCAAAAGTTGCCCCTAAGAAGCTCTCTCCATCCCCCCATCAGCATTAATCCTTAACGCGTCCTAACTTGAATTAATGTTTATCCAGTGTGTGTCTGGCCCTGGATTGAGAATGTGAATTCCTTGAGGGAGGGACTGTGAGTCTTAGACAGAGTAGGTGATAAAAACGAGGTGGTTCGGCCAGAGTTCCCCAGAGCAGGGCTTTTGGGAGCTGACCTCGATGACCTTCCTGTCCCTTGTGTTTTTCCCTAGGGCGGGCCGGCTGCTCTGACACCATGGGGAGCTGCTGCAGCTGCCTGAACAGAGACAGTGTCCCAGACAACCACCCCAGCAAGTTCAAGGTACCCACAGCCCCCTCCTCTCCCACATTCCCAGCACGGCCTCCTGGGCTCGGCCCGAGCTGTCGAGTTGCTTCAGCCTCCCTAGAGAAGGTGAAATGACTGGCTGAGGTTGTGGGCTTCGCAAGCTCAGGACCTCTGAGCAGTACCAAGGAAAACGGGCTCAGGCCACTGCCTTTTTTGTGGCTCTTGGTATTACTAAGAATGAAGAAATGCTGCAATAGAGTAGCAGAGATTGTGCTTTCAGAATGTTCACTCCTGTCCGTGTATCTTTGTAACTTTACATTATAACTTTTCGGAGAAAACAACAAAAGTCTGTATTTGTGAATTAACATGTGTCAAGTATTTCAAACAGTGATTAACACATGTTAAGCACAGCATTAGTGTTTGCTGTTTGCTTTGGGAAGCTGAGGCCGGGCCCAGTGGACCTGTGTGCACCCCCGCCTTGCTCCTTCCACCTCCCTGTAGGGGGCGCCCCCTCCTCACCCCGGCATCTTGAGGCCCAGGTTTCTCCTGCTCACCAGAAGAGGGAGCCCTCAGCAAGGTCCTGCAGTTGGGGAGGTGGTGGAGGGCCTTTATATTTGTTCTGCTTGGGTTTGACACTCCCGGGGTCTTAA